AGGATGCAGATGACGCACGTGGGCCACAGGCTGACAGTTATCAGAGCCGAGTGACGGGTACCCGGGGGGTTAGTGGTACTATGTGGTCCATTTTGGTATAAGTTTTGTAATTTTCATAATAAAARAAATGTAAAATATAAAACCCCCAAAGGCTTGCCAGGATTCATCTACTGGGGCACATTTGCCGGGGTGTAGGGAAGGTCTCGCTGTCATCGCTGCATAATCGTTGGGGGTAAATATGGAAGTTCATCAATCAGAAAGGCTGCAGCGAGGCGCTAGCTGGCAGTGGTCCCAGCTCTGTGTGGCTGCCATCTAGCCTTCAGGCCCATTTGCCCTCTATAAATAACAGGCTATGTGAATGCTTTACTATTTTAACGCACATTTGCCACAGCTGCGGATCATGTTTGTTTACGTAGCTGCGAAGCCTTCTGTAAACATCACTATCTCAAAATTGCCCATGTGTCAGGAACATAAAGGGCCCCCTTTAAAAATATAGTTGCAGATGAGACGCCGCCAGCTCCTGGATGTCTGGGTGGCTGGTGTCAGAATTTTCCAGGGTTTGATTCATTTTCAAAAATAGAATCACATGACAGGAATGGTCTCCGGAGGTCGCCTCCAACATCCCTCGGCAGGGCCAGGTCCAGAGCACCCCTCTGACTYCAGGCCGGAGCAGAACGAAGGTACCTGTGGAGGAGGTGGGTCTGTCCTTTAGGAGTGGGAGTTTGTCTTTTACCAGATCCTTCGAGGCACTGAGGATGGGCAGGGATGGTGTCCTGTCTTCCAGGGGCAGCAGACAGAGGAACCCAAGTGGTCCACCCCTGTCGGGCAGCTCCAGGTCAGGGTCACTGTGTGCCCAGTGCATGCATGACAGGAAGGGTGTGTTGAGGCCACGAGGCTGCCTGGCAGATGTCCCCTCATCCAGACCACGGAACGTCCCTTAAGGTCAGCTAAGAATATTCTGAAGGAAGTCATGAGAACAGCAGAAGCCATTTTGTGTCAGCTTGCTGTTTTCATGGCTCCCGATTTCAACCTGCACTACAATGAATAATCAGATCCTTGTGAATTTGTTTTCCTCGAGTGTGCATTTGGTCCACATTGTTTTTCCTGTGGCTTTGATATATTGAACATTGTTCCTCCCTAAGGGCCTGTTTAGTGCCCATAAATCCCAACTGTGGTTTTCATTCACAAAGAAAAAGCATCCTGCTGTAGCCTAAGAGATCCGTAGCACTGGAAGTGCTGAATTGTATGAATCTCACAAGGGAAGGACCAAGGCACRTCCAGCTTCCAGACACTTCCAGAACTTTCTAGAACACCTCTCCTCCACTTTCTAAAAATGGAGAAAACTATTTTTTTCCCCCAAAGGAAATAGATAGTGGTTGCCTTTTCTCAGGGACAGGGGCAAGAATCTTGATTCTTTTACTGGCAACTACCCAGGGTTCCCTAAGCAAGCCTCAGAGGCAAGTATCACTGCTAATTACCAAGAAAAAGAGGTTTCTTGCTTTGGATTGTCTCTCTCATTACAAGCTGTCATCGAAAAGACAGGGTCCGCCCCAGGGAGAATTCCCACTCTGGTATATCACAGAGAAAATCAGCTGACTCCAAATTCATTTAGTTTTTGGTTTGAGGGAGTGCAAAGCCCTTTCTGTAATTTGAAGCTGAGGTTAACATCAGTGATCAGTCTCCAGCGGCTGCTGCTTCTCCAGCTCAGTGATGCCACGAGGAGCCTCACCTCCCTCCTGTCCTACAGGAGACTCCTCAGAGAGAATCTGATACAGAGACTTCACTGGATAATGAAACAGGCCGATTGTACCACCTGTGTGTATGAATTCGTCACAACAATCTCACTTTTATGTTCAATTGTAACAAAAAATAAATGGAGGGCTAATAACAGTTGAGGAAGGGGTGAGGGAGGGAGAAGGAGAGGAAAGGAGAAGCGCTGGGGGCTGACTCGCGTGTTTGAGTATGTCACTCCTGCTTTGTAGGAGTCAAAACAAGACAGAAACCCTTGGCTGAGAGGGGTCAGTCCGTGCTGCCCTGGGGTGAGCCTCAGAGGACACCACTGGGGGATCCAGAGTCCCCATGCTCAGGGAGGCTGGAGAAGCTTCTGGTCTGTGGGACAGTGACAGAGCTCCCTGCCTGAGTGACACTCCCCTTGCCCTTCCTCGCACCCCATCCCCCATCTCCCCATACAAGGGTGGCCTCCGGAATCCTCCAAAGGTCAGACCCAAGGCACAAATAGCCTATTACGCCTGCAGTACTTATTTGATATCTCACAAGAGCTACAGTTCACGAGACGAGAGAAATCTTGAAAATGTGGGGCTCAGGGGTGGGAAACAGGGAGTCGTCTGTCGCAGCACAGAGTGCTCCACGTCAGCTTCCCTCACTCATGTTTATGTCCCGAGTACACGGTCAGTGCCTGGCTACACAGCGGGTGTGGAATGCATGTGCAACTGTCCCTCAGTATCCACAGGGCACAGGTTCCAGGACCCCCGAGGATCCCAGATCCACAGATGCTCCGGTCCCCTGTGCAAAAAGGGCATGGTATCTGTACAGAACCCACTGGCACCTTCCAACATGCCTCTGTCCTCTCTAGACCGCTGACCCCTCTTGGCCCAGGTGAAGGCTAGGTAAGTAACTGTTACGTGGTGGTGATTAGAGAATAACCACAGGGGAAAGGGAGTCAATGTTCAAGACAGATGCTTTGAAAAATATTTTAGTCCCATGGTTGGTTGGCTTTGCAGATGTGGAACCCCGAGACCTGGGTCATTCGCTATGGAGGGCCCACTGTGGGCTGTGACTCTTTAAAGCTGTTTTCAGATTCTTTTTGTTCTATGGAAAGGAAAGCGAAGTCTTTAGTAAAAACGGGCCCTTCCCTGAGTTCTGGCATTGAGCTCCATGCAAAGCCCTTTTCTCAGGTTTTCAATGTTTGCTGCATTTCAAAAACTTATCAATCATAAAACTGTGTACCACCAAGGAGACTTTGCCCGCTGGGACAGGGAGACAGGAACAGGCAGTCACAGACTTCCCTTTGGAAGGGACAGGGGGTTAGGTTCCTTGTTATAAGCTGATGGAGAGTCTAGCCTGGTGCTGAGCATGCATTTTTGGATGATATTGATGGGGACAGACGGATGTGAGTGGTGGGAGCATGAGGTTAAGGGACTAATTCTATAGAAGGGACCCACTGTGCCGACCCCCACTGTGCCGACCCCCACTGTGCTGACCCACACGTTTTCTTTTCCAAGAAACAATCTACCTGCAGCCCTGCCTGCCTTAGGTGGACCGATATGTCACGTTCCTCAGCAGACTACCTGCTACCTGAAGAACAAACGGAGGCCTGAAATAATGACGATAAGAGGCTCTCAAGTTATCCTGAAGGGGGAAGACTTCTGGGACCCTCTTAACAGACCAGATCCCTGAACTCAGGGAGATAAGGAAAATTCCTCCTCACCACACAGTCTGTAAGAATTCACAGTTAAGAATCCAATTAGAACTGGTCAGCATGGGCCAAGGGGACCTAGAGTTGTCATGGAAGAGGGGACATTAAACTCTCATGTCATCCTGCTGTCGTCAAAAGTCAAGAGGGCACGATCTCCAGAAACTTCTCTGGGATCCTCAGTAAAACTGCAAGAGAGGCATTGCTGTCCCTCTCCTCTCTGAGAGGACCCGCTCTCTCCCTGGAGCGGGTCCCCTTTCTCTTCAATGAGCTCTTTGCCTGTTACTCTGGGGGACACGTCGGAAACCTTTCTGACTTGATCGCAATAACTGTGCCGCTTCGGTTTCCTGGAAAACCCGGCACAGTAGCAATACGAGCCAACTCGGAGCCTCAAATACAAGACTTAAAACTGCAGAAGTAGAGACTGCAGAACCAAGGGGGTCCCAAGGTGAGCAGCGGTCGCTCAGAACAGGTGAGGAGTCAGGGAATGAGCACTCCAGTGTGCATCCTCCCGGGAGGTGACACTGTCAGCTGGTCAGGGCTCACTGTGAAAGTTACAGAGGAACATGGGCAGGAACCACTTTGCTCTTGGGAGGTGCAGCATGAGTGAAGTTCAGAACGGAGTGAAGACTTTAGTAAAAACAGGTCATTTCCTGAGATCTGGCAGAAAAAGCTCACCTCCCCTAAAACACACCCATGATTACATGCGAACAGCAGAAGGGTCAATAGGATTACAGTGAATGGACCTTCACACAATCTTTCCCTTTCCTCCTGGAGTTTTTCATTTTAATTTAAAAAAAAAATTTTTGGTACTAGGGATTGAACCCAGAGGGACTTACCCACTGAGCCACATCCCCAGCCCTTTTTTATTTTTTATTTTGAGACAGGGTCTCACTAAGTTGCTTAGGGCCTCACTAAGTTACTGAGGCTGGCTTTGAACTCGTGATCCTCCTGCCTCAGCCTCCAGGGCTGCTGGGATTATTAGGTGTGCGCCAGGGTGGCTGACTAAGTTTGACTCATTTTTAAACCAGGTCTGCAGTGTGATTTCTATGGGGGTAGAAGAGTGTGGAGAGACACTGGGTGCGCTTGATACAACAGAATAACCAGCGTGACAAGTTTTCCAAATGGTGCCTCAAGAAGGGGTAAAATCGCATTTTTATCAGAGCAGCTCATCAAACTTTTTTTTTTTTTTTTTAAATCTAACCTCTTCCTCTTGGCTTGGTAATAAGCAGCCACAAGTATTTAAATCACTAATGTTTTAAAGCTTCTTAAAAAGTGCTTTAGAGACTGATCAAATTTTAATTTAAGTAAACATTTGGAAATTTAAACTATATCCAGTGGTGTTTTTAGCATTCATTCATTTATTTCTAAAGGACTTTAAGAACCTAAATGGCTGGACTCCTTGAATGTGCAAGACTACAAAGCACACAGGTGTACTATGTCACCAAGCACACAGCGACGTCCACAGGGGTTGGGTTCAGCATCCTGTAGCTGTAGCAAGTAAGAACATCGGGCACAGCTGAAGTGGCTCATTCAGCCCCCAGAGGGCCCCCACGGCCCGTCTTACCTGTGGCTTCCACCATCCCCTCCAGGATGACCACGATCTCCAGTTCCTCCTTGGGCAGCTGGGCCTTGGAGATCTCCCAGAAAGGGCTCTGTTGGTTAATTTCGTGGCTGATGATCAGCGGTGACACCAGAAATAGCCGGTCATCCCCTGTGTAGTAGCCCACGTTGATGTCCGTCTGGTTCAGGGGGATGAACTCCCCCTCGGACGTCTGCTTGGATTTGATGAGCTTGGCTCTGATGGAGGCCTCCACGATGTGGGAGTTCCTCAGGTCCCCCACCCGGAACATGAGGCACAGCTTCCCGTCCCGCATGGAGATCACCGCGTGGGTGGAGAAGACCAGGGTCTCTGCCCTCTTCTTGGGCTGAGATATTTTTACAAACATGCATCCCACCATGAAGGCGTTGACAATGGACCCCAACACRGACTGGATTAGGAGGAGAATGATTCCCTCCGGGCACTTATCTGTGATGACCCGGTAGCCGTAGCCGATGGTGGTTTCTGTCTCTATGGAGAATAAAAAAGCAGAGACGAACCCGTTGAGGTTGGTGACGCAGGGAGTCCACGAGGGGTCCTCTATGTGGTCCATATCTCCTCGGATGTACGCGATCAGCCACCAGATCATTCCAAAAAAGAGCCACGTCACTGTGTAGACCATGACGAAGATCAGCAGGTTGAATCTCCACTTGAGGTCCACCAGGGTGGTGAAGATGTCCGTCAGGTAGCGGTAGGTCTCCCTCACGTTCCCGTGGTGGACGTTGCACTTTCCGTCTTTCCTCACGTACCTCTGGATCTTCCTTTTGGTCCGGTCCCTGCTGATGTGTCTGGGCAGGTCGTCCCTGGCCTGCTTAGGCAACTTTGGCTGGTGAATGGCCACGGGGCTCTCCACATCCTGATCCATGGAGTCCCCCTCCAGGACATTAGCTGGTGTTTGGAGAAAAGAAAAGAAACACTGATTGAGATGCTGACTCTCTGCAGGTGACAGAACTGCATGCTCTGGGTATGGCGGTGACACCAAACACCGTCTGTATAGCTATGAACGAGGCGAACCAAGCCATTTTTATTTGGCGCTATCTGGGTTCTGGTTGACTTGGGCTCCTGTGCTCACGCCAGCACCTCGCCACCCAGCCCACCAGGACGGAKCTCAGCGCTGCAAGATCACCTGCCTGCCAGCAGCTTCCACTGAGCGAGCTCTTGGGGCCCATGTCCCATGCTGAGTCTGAGATGTTATGGCAAGAAGACATCTCTTTATGCAGACGATCTGATCTCTACCTCTTAGCAAACTTGGGTTCAAGCCAYGCTGTTAGGAACTGAATCATGTCCCCCCAAAACCCCTAGGTTGAAGCCCTGACCCCCAGTGTGACTGTCTTTAGAAATGGACAATTTCAGGCTAAAAGAGTGAGGTCCTAATCTAGGAGGATTTATGTTCTCCTAGGAAGAGGAAAAGCCACCAAGATGCACAGGAGCAGAGACAAGGCCATGGGGGACACCTGGAGGAGGTGCCGTCTGCGAGCCCAGGAGAGAGGCCTCCCCTGAACCAGCCCTGAGGACACCCAGCTCCGCCCTTCCAGCCCCCACCGCAGAACTGTGAGAAAACAGATCTCTGTTGTTGGAGCACCCAGAATAGCAGTGGCAGCTCCGGCAGGCCAAGGCGCCCCCCAGGTGCACTGAGMCTCAGTCTCCTCACTGAAAACATGATGGCGATACCAAACTCATGGGTGTTTTAAATGCTCTTTGAGTCATCTTACGAGCTCACTAGAGTGAGGCTTACTGTTGGGTTCATTTTGACAAAATCATACACTCATGGAATTTGATTTCCCCCACTTCCCCCCTCTTCTCCTCCCTCTGCTCTACCTCTCTTCACTCATTTATTCATTCATTTTTGGTTGGTTCTTCCTACTTAGGCACAAAGGTGGACTTCTCTGTGGTGTATTTACGATTGCACATACCGTGGTTTCATTAAATTCACTCTGTATTTTCTCCCCCGTCCTGTTCCTYCTCCTTCCCTTTTGGTCTTCTCTGTATCTTTATGAYATCCTCTCCCTTCCTTCTTTCTCTTATTTTACTCTAGTTTCCACATMTGACCAAAAAAGATCGACCCTTCATTTTCTGATTCTGCCTTATTTAGCTCAGCACGATGTTCTCCATTTCCATCCATTTACTGGGAAATACCATCATTTCCTTCTTCTTTATGACTAAGTAAAACCCCATTGTGTATCGTACACCACATTTTCTTTATCCATTTACCTATTGACAGGCATCCGGGATGGTTCCATAACGTGGTTATCATGGCTTAGGCTGCTATCAGCACCGAGAGGGCTCTATCACTAGAGTATGTTGATTCTAGATCTTTTGGGTAAATTCCAAGGAGTGGGCTAGCTGGGTCATGTGGTGGTTYCATTCCTGTGTCTTTGAGAAATATCCACGCTGCTTTCCAGAGTGGTTGTATTCATCTGCATTCCCACCAGCAATGTACAATCATACCATTTCCCTCTCATCCTCACCAGCATTTATTATTATTTGTGTTCTTGATCATGGCCATTCTGTCTGGAGTGAGATGAAATCTTAGTGTAGTTTTGATTTGCATTTCCCCAATCATGGAGTTGTTACAAGGAAAAGGAAATCACATGYGTGAATTGGCCTGCATGAGACAGGCCACATTTACCTCTGGTAATAAACTAYTCCCTTTAACATCTAGGGCAAGACTTTTGAACAAAAGTCTTTAAATTGTTATTCAAATTTCAGGGCTTAAAATTTTCTGGTTTTTTGTTGGTAAGTATGCATGAATTGTACGTTAATGGTTTATTCAATACCAAGAGAAAAAGTGTTCATACATTTGATTTGATTTCTGCCTCAACATCTAGCATCTGCAGCTTGGCACGTGGCAATGTTCTTTCTGATGGCCTCTGTGATTAATGCATCGGCACAACCATTAGCCAACRATGCGCCAGGAAGCCTCTCTTAGAGTCTGAGTGTGGAGGGAACTTTGGAACTGATTCTATTAAAAAAGTGTGTAAACCGATGCATGAAATTACTTGTTTAGCCAATAATTTTAGAGCTTCTGAAAGTTTTATAAGCAGCTTCTCCCTCCAGGATTCCCTTCGAGGTCCTTTGACTCAGCTCTGCCTTTCATCTGCAGTGAGACTGTGTTTTTCTCTTAGTTAAAGGAGAATCGAGATCTGGTGAGAAACATCATCTATCTGAACAGGAGAATGGCTGCGGGTTGGGGTTTGAGTGGTACCAACTTGTCTTACGGCCCTGTCTTGCTCGCAGCTGGCTAGTTGCCTTGAGAGTCAATGGCACGGATCTGTTTTTAGGATGTACCTGGTCTGCGGAGCCTGCTGTCTAGTTTGATAGCTTTGACTTTTAGATCATTGCTCTCAATAGCCCTTCATTTGGAAATGAGAAAGTTTGCTTTTTTTCTTCTTAACACAGAAGCCTGGGGCAGGCCTGGCGGAGAGGCTGGACTGGGCTGAAGGCCAGTGGAGTATGGGCAGAAGAGTCCCATCCTGCTCAGGGCCAGCACCCCACATGGCAGATGCTTGCTTGCCGAAGGGTCATGTCAGAGTGCATGCCACAGCTGACTTTCCCTGACTGGTCTCCAGACGTGACACCCTGTGGCAGGACCTTTGGGTCCAAACCCTGCCAGGTTGGGAAGGCCAAGTCTGCAGAGCCCTGTGAAGGTTCTAGCAGGCCCAGGTCATGCTCTGGCCTTGACTGCCAGGAACCTGGCTGGTGCTGCCAGACCTCCCTGAGCCCTGGTCTTGAGGTGGAAGAAGAGGGTGGTTAGACTACCTGCTTCTCCCAGTCTCCTGTGATATTTCTCTCCTGCTGTTCCCAACTAGAAGCTGCTTCCCCCTTTCTGGCTCCAACTGCAGACTTCAAGTTCCAGGCATTGGGCCCTGACAGGGGCTCTGTGCTTGGAAGGCCAGGGAACGAGGGGAGATGGTGATCTGGGCCCCTGAGGAGACCCTGTGCAGAGCCCCTGTCCTTTCTGCAAAGCAAGATCCCATCCCCCATCCTCCCTGCAGTCGGGGGGGGCATGGTGACTGAGTCCTGGCTGTCGTGAGTGGGGGGTGTCTTTCTGAGCCACAGTCTCAGACAGGGCACATGCCCCCTCCGTGTGTCTTTGCCCTGCTGTGGGGGGACACTGGAGTTAAGAGGGGAGGGATCCTGGGTCCTGAGTTGGTGTGGAGATCTGCCATCTGTGTAGAAGCAAGAAGAACCGTGACTGTGTCTGAACAATTATGTATTTTGTCTCCATTATCAAGTCAAGACTTATCTCTAATTTTCTGGGCAGAAATAAGTGATGCCTCTAAGCAGAAGGAAGAGCTATCAATGGAGGGGACTGGTTCTGGGAAAGAGAAGCGGAAGATGGAGTGCTCTGAGGGTGTTTGGAAGATTTAGCACGTGCTTAATCAAGTGCTTGTGTTTGGCGTGTGTGTGTTGCGCGCGGGGGGGGGGGGGATGTAAGTGCACAGCCCATGTTGGTGCCTTCACAAATAAATGAGGCCAGCCAAACCGCCCTGGGACTGTGAGCAGACTGTGACGGACAGGCGGGCTTGGTGGGGCTGCTGCATTTGCCGTGGTGATGCAGGCGGGCCGGGTGCACCAAGGGAAGCGGGGAGGTGGGCCTCGGCTCAACAGTGGCAGCCGGAGGAGCAGGAGTGCTGTTGAGGGAGATGCCAAAGCCAGGAGATGTGAGCCCTGGACAGGTGGAAGACAGAAGCCAGGGCCTGAGAGGTCCAGAAAGGCCAGGTCGGCGAGGAGGAGAGGGCGTGGGCGTTGGGGCGGGCTGGGTCTGCTGCAGGTGCAGGAGAGGGGATGAGCGCCTCATGACTGTGTCCTGAGTYACCGAAGGGCCACTGCATAAAGAGAAGGGCCATTCCAGGCCAGAGCCAGGAGGGGAGCCACAGAAGCCTGCTGACATGCATGCACCTTGGGCAGGGGAACTCGGGAGGGAAAGTGAACAGTGGCTTTTGGTTTTTCTTTCTCTCTGGGAGCCCGGGTGTGAATTTCAGCGGGGATCTGAATTGCATTTGAGCTGAGCAGCAGGCGAACTGCAGCTGGATGGGAAAGCAGACATTGCTCCCTTGCACAGCAAGGACACAAACGCTCCCCCAACCCTTCCAGAACTTTCTCTGGTCCGGGCCGCCCGGTGCGTGGGCCAGCATCCAGCACTAGCTCCTGCTGGTCTCCACCAGTAGCCCACGGGTGTGTTGGCCACAGAGAGTGCAGAGGACAGGCCCCCTCTGCTACCCATGAAGTAAGTGCCCTGCAAATGGGCAAAAGGGTCGGGAATGCCCCCGGATTTGCCTCAGGGACTTGCTTTTCTGGATTTTGGCTTGGTGTAAATGTGGGTCTGTGTGAGGAAGCCCAGGTGTTTGTTTTGTTACCCTCTCTCTCTCTCTTGCTATTTTTTTCCTCCTTCTTTCCCTCTTAGAAAGCRGATCAATTTGCACAGAAGCAGCTAAGATACAACATCTACCTGGAAAGAAGCAATAACAAAGGATGAGCCAGGAGCTGCTCATCACCACCTGGTCCCTTAATCAGTGTGGCCCTGTCACAATTCAGGTGTTCTTCTTGTCCAGGGAGGGCTGCCCTGGGGGTCCTGCTCTCTAGTAGGTGTTCCCCTCCCGCAAAATTCTTGTGTTCCAAGTTACATAGGAGTTTGCTGGGTAAAACCTCCAGTGTGCAAGAAAAGGTACAGACACTCCTGCGAGTCCTTTTAGTGCCCCRGGAAGGCCAAACGGAGAAAAGCAAGGTCACTCCGTTTTTTGGGCCATGCATGTGTGAAAGCACAGCTGGGCAGGGAGAGCCCCTGGACGATAGCAGGGTGGTTCTGGGGGAGGGAGGCTTGTGCCAGGCTTTAGTCTCCTATTAAACATTCTTCGTTTCCAAATGAGTTTATATTATTTCTATAA